TCAGCAGGCAGGACTGGCCTAGGGGTATTTTAAAGGGGTTTTAAATTAAATTTTTAGTAGAACCGGCCAAATTTAAATAGTTATTTTTAATCTTTTTAAATTTTGTATTGTATTGTACCATTGTTTTAAACTGGCTGTAAGCCGCCCTGAGTCCTCCGGGAGAAGGGCGGGGTATAAATTTAATAAAATCAAAATCAAATCAAACTATAAAATTTTATGTATTGCTTTTTGTGATTGTATACATCACTGGTCTAATGGATTGCTATTATACACAGGCAGGTAGCCATATTCAGACTCTGATGGGATCACAAAGTCTACAGCATCGTAGTCGAGAGCAGCCATATGAGGGCAACATGAACAAAGTAACAATCCAGCAGTATCAGCCACCGTTGCCAATACAGATCCCTTCTCAGAGCTCTCGGGCGCCACAAGCAGGGAGGTGTGTCATCCAAACAAAAGGGCAGAGGAGTATGGATGGTTATCCAGAACAGGTGAGCATGTCGCAGAATATCATGTGGGTAAAAGTTGTTAAAAGAATTTGAGGGAAGGTCAACATGATACCATATCACACTGCAGTGGTTTCACACCAAGTGTCTGGTTGAGGAAGTAATCTTTGTCTAGCTTTCTTTAACAAGAAACTTACAATTGGGTTGTAAATGTGGCCTTTTTTTCAGCTTGTGAGCATAGAAGCCAAAGAAAATCCTGAATTATATCTAGTTCCATGTGTGCATCAATACTGAATCAATCAGATTTTTAATTTTAAGAAATACAAGATTAGCACTGAACACACTGTGCAAGCACAATTTCTTATAGGAATGTGTAGAACATCAGAAATCTAGAATATTTTTTGCAATTCTGGTAGGGTTTTGTATATTCCGAAGTAAATCCTCCAAACCAGAACTCCTTCTAGTTCAGAATATATTTTTTTTCTGGAAATTACTGAACCTCAAAAGAGAAAAGCCCAGGAACAGGTTTTGAAATGCTTCATTAGGGAAAGAATGTTTCAGAGTTTTAAGAATGCTGAGTTTTGCAGTTCCTTTGCTCCTAATGGCTAAGATTTTGGGATTTCTCTACATTGTACCTATTTCTAGCTTTCATTAAAGAAATAAGGTTATATATTTTGGTTTGGAGAAGATGGATTGATTATATATGAAAAGTATTATTTAGCTTAATATGGCTGAATACTATTTTTAGTTTTACAATTTAATTATAATATTATTTTGAGATGTTATAGATAGAAGAAGTATAAGATTGAAAAGTATTATTTAGCTTTTGATTATGATTTAATTATAACATTATTTAGAGATTTTATAGATATAGATGAACTAGGAGATTGAAAAGTATCATTTAGTTTATGAGTGAATTTAAGATTATTATTAATAGTTTAATAGGGTTGAATATTATTTTGAATTTTATGGTTTAATTATATTATTATTTTGGTTGTTAATTAGGTATATTATTATTTTGGTTGTTAATTGGTTAATACTTATTTTGAAAGGGAGTTAAAGTATGTTATGGATTTAACTGCTAGTATAGTTGGGTAATGTTATTTAGATTATGATTGTTTATTTGTACCCTCTGGGTACAAATCAGCTCTGGGAAGTGGAGGTGGGAGCCTCTGGGAAGTGGAGGTGGGAGGGGAGGGTGGGGAGGGAGGGGGGACATATATTGTAAAAAAATTTAAAATTCTTAATAAAAAAATAATAATAATAAAAAAAGAAATAAGGTTGATGAAATATATATATAGCAATGCGAAGTATTACTCTGGGAATAATATTTTCTGAAATGATGAATAAAAGTCACCAAAATCAGTCTTAATAAAATAACACTAATTACAGCACAATAAGTGGAGCACTTATATTTATTATCGACATGAATACAAGAATACAGTCATAACTCTGTGTCTTTTATATATAGTTTTGTGTAAGGATAGAGAAGAATCCAGGACTTGGATTTAGTATCAGTGGAGGAATAAGCGGCCAAGGAAATCCATTCAAACCTTCTGATAAGGTAATATATTGCATTTTCAAAAATGTAAGAGCTTTGAATCTTTAAAAGGCCATTTCGAATTTGAAACATACAACCCCTGGGTGAAGTAATTAACTGCAATTTCTTTATGGTAATCTGTTTTTAATAATTTCACATCTTTTCTTCCCAAATGTGCTTGGTTCTTTAGCTATTGTCTTTTATTCAATTAGGCATTAAAAATCTTGTTGAAAGCGGTATTGCTTACATACATACATACATACATACATACATACATACATACATAATACATACATACATAATGTTTATTTGATGCATCTGTAACATTGTATTAAGACAAGTGCTTGTATTTATCTACTAGTAGAATTTAAACAAATGGGAAGTTCCATATCTTAATGTACATTCTATAGCAATGAGATAGTAGTGTGATAAACATTTCAATATGTACTGTATTTCCAGTTCCCATGAAGCTGTAGCAAATAAGATTTTGGTTTATAAGAAAGATTTGGTCTATTCTTTACTAACACTGTACATGTCAAGTGCAGAAAAATCAGGAAGTCCAGGCAATTCAAATGAATATAAAGTTTTATTGCAAGCTTACGCTTTCTACAAGAATGTGAACTACTAACGATCAGAGCAAATTGGCTGTAGTCAGTGGAATTCAAGGTGGGCTGGACTTAGATCTCCTGTGGGTGCAAAGGGACTCGAGCTGGATGATGCATTTTGACCCCTGGCTCAACCTAGTCATCTCCTACAGCACATTCAATAGATACTGTCTGAAATTTTGTTTCTTCCACGTGTTAATTCAAGAATACAATTTAATATTTAAAAAAAATCTTTGCAGATACTGTTTTTGTTTTATAGCAAAAGATATTATGCAGGATAGTATAGTAGATACTATGATATAAATATATAAATCTATAAGTTGCATTTTGTGAGAAACTGAGTAAGATAATAATAGTAATAATAATAGTAATAATAATAATAATAATAATAATAATAATAATAATAATAATAATAATAATAATAATAATAATAAAAAAGTTGGAAGGGACCTTGGAGGTCATCGAGTCCAACCCCCTGCTCAGGCAGGAAACCCTATACCATTTCGGACAAATGGCTGTCCAGTCTCTTCTTAAAAACTTCCAGTGTTGGAGCATTCACCGCCTCTGGAGGCAGGTTGTTCCACTGGTTAATTGTTCTAACTGTCAGGAAGTTTCTCCTTAGTTCCAAGTTCCTTCTCTCCTTGATCAGTTTCCATCCATTGCTTCTCGTCCTGCCCTCAGGTGCCTTGGAGAATAGCTTGACTCCCTCTTCTTTGTGGCAGCCCCTGAGATATTGGAACACTGCTATCATGTCCCCCCTCGTCCTTCTCTTCGTTAAACTAGTCTCAACACAGAAAACATACATTTGTATGAGTGTTTCAGAGGCTGTGGCTTCCAATCCAATAAAATGATAGGTTAACATGTATACCTGAACAACCGCTCTAAAGCTTATGGAGAACTTACAAATCAGCAAAAAGATTGCTTACCATCATTGGAATAATCATTATTAGTATTACGAAAGTCACCGATTTAATCTATGCAGAAATCTTTAGTGAGTTCTCAGTTGTCTAATCTCTGCTGCTTTTGACTTGTAGGGTATCTTTGTTACTAGGGTTCAGCCTGATGGACCAGCATCTAACCTGCTTCAGCCTGGTGATAAGATTATTCAGGTAAATGAGAACTGCTACTTAATGAAAGCATGGTTTTACTGCAGATATCCTTGCTCATCTGCATGCCGTCATATTCCACTTTTCTCTGCCTGCCCAAAATAAGTTTCAAATGGTCTGAGACTAAGATTCAAGTGCTAAGATGCTGGCAATCTGCACAGAATTGCTACTCTCACAAATAGACATGGATTTGTTGTTGGCTAAGTATGAAGAAAGAGAGAGAAAGCAGCTTGTCTGAAGGAGATAGTATGTTCTGAATAGTAAAAGTCAATATTAACATGATGTTTGCCCAATATTGACCTAGGGCCTATTTTATTTACTTATAGAACTTGGTATTTTATTCCTGAATGTGAAGCTGGCTGAAGAGACACCTACGTATAACTTTTTTTTTTTAAAAAAAAAGCAGAATAAAAAAAATCCCTTTAGTGTGCGTGCGTGTGTGTGTGTGTGTGTGTGTGTGTGTGTGTGTGTGTGTGTATTAGCTGACTGTCCAGTAATAGAACCAAATAATTTTTAGGAAAGGATTTGATTTACCCTGTAAGCTATAATAATGAGATTCAGTGTAAACAAAAAAAAACTGTTAGAATTGTATTATTTTTTATTTATCAGCTTATGTTATAAATATTTATGCTAGTACAGGGATAAAGCCATTTTATTGTACGCAAAATACAATTGCCTTCAACTTCTGAACAGTAGTTTACTACTCTAAATAAAGGAAGAATTTTTGATTTATGTTCTCCTTTGGTAAAGCTTTTTGCCTACTTATTTTTTACTGTTGTTCTTCAGTATCATAGAACTGAAGAGTTTGAATAAGTAATTTTTATAAAATAAAAGAAAAAAACCTTGTTCAGTTATCTGATTGAGTCTATTCCTCATGCAACTGTAGAAGTCCAGCCTGCACTCAGGATGTTCTCTGTTGCAATAACCATTTCATAAGACATTTAGGTACACACTCAACCTGTAATTTTATACTTATACAGTCCTGTGTCAGTTCCTTAAATGAACACCACTACCATGCAAATGTTAGGGCACAATTTTATTCAATGTTTAGGGTGTAGTGCCATTCTGTATTTATATCAGAAAAGAGCTTCAGTGTAAACATTTCTTAATCTGATTGGATCACTGATTCATAAAATTTGTCCCGGGAAATTGCTAAAAAGTCTTATGCCTTTTAAGCATTTTACAGTAAATAAGCAATTAATTAAAAACATTTCCAAATCAGGATTCTGGTATCTTCCACCTTTTATAAATTTTCAACTAATAAATGTGAAAGAATTGTCTTTTTTATATTGAGCTGGATAGATGCTTGCTAAATTAATGTGCTTTTATTTAAGCCAATTAGTCATTATTTCCAAAGCATGCATGTTTAAGCTTAACTACCAAATAAATCAATAAGATTTATTTCCAAGTCAGCATACTAACAGCACAGCAATGATACTGTTGGATTTAACAGTACTTGCTCAAGTAATGTAGGCTACATTCAGACTGTAAAATATTCAAATTTGTAGTTAATTCTTTAGGTTTATGTAGCTTATGATGATTATCAACTGCAACTTTAATGGACTGGAACAATAAGCACTAATCGTTTTATTGAAGATGTTGATAGACAAGCAGATTTCTGTAGGATAGGTTTGGGATCCATTCTATCAAGGTGTTTCATAGAAAGTATACTCAATCTAAGTAACTGACCTTATATCTACATATTGATGGCTATTGGTATGGATCTGGTTCACTTTTATACGTGGCATGTCTCTTTGTCAGTGGAAACATATTTTAAGGGAATAACAAAACTAAGCTTCTGTTGCACTTGCTTTTTAAACATGCTTATCATATATCATATATCCTACATACCTACACTCATTCCCCTTTTTTATTATTCAAATGCAATCACTCTTTGAATACTTCTTTTCCTTCTCTTTGTGTCATTCATTCCCTTTCCCAGTTATTAGAGCAGTGTCCTACGTTGGCATCTACAGAGAAAAATAAATACATAAATCAATTTTAATAAATATGAGATACGAATTCATAATAAAAATAAACTATGAAAACTTCAAAACTTATTTTCTACATTTGTCTAAGTTATTTTAATATTACCAGCATTGTCATACATGTTAGGCTTAGGGTAAAGAGGTGATTTTATGAAACTTGGCATTTTGTGAACTTGGCCCCTTGATTACTACTAGAGCGGATCTAGAATACAGCAGTAGATATGTTGGTAAGTATACATATGTAAGCATATAAGTGTGGAAGAGGCCAGAATTTACAGGTAAAGGGAAAATTAAGGGGTTGCAGGAAGAGGAAAAAATTGGTAGCTTAGGTTTTTCTGCTCTGCTATTTCTTTCCTTGTGTTAGACAAGGGGTAGTTAACCTTGGCTCTTAGCTGGCTCAGGAATTCTGGGAGTTGAAGTCCACGAGTCATAAAAGAGCCAAGGTTGACTACCCCTGTGTTAGACTATGGAATTTCTTGCATTCTTTATATATCTAGTTTAATCCAAACTAAAGATAGATACAATTTTAGTTGTAAAATGGGAATGGCCATTCTGTGAAGGCCAGATGGATCAAAACTTTGCAAGAAGAAGTTACTGTTTGTTTGTGGTTGGTCTAGCTTGATCTAACTTTGACTCTGCATGTGGTCTCTCACTAAGGGAACAGATCTGGAATTTGAAGATCCTCCTGGCTTTGTGGTTCCTGCTAGAACAGGAGGTGGACGCCCTGACCAGGGGTTCCTTCACTTGACTGGTGTGCCAATTGTTGGTCTTTTTGGACTAGGAGGCCATGACAATAGTGACTCCTGTCCTGATCACCTAATAGTTAGACCAGTGCAGCCACTTAATATTGGATTGCCTTTTTAAGGTGACTTGGAAGCTAATATTTGTACTGTCTGTTTATTTGCTAACTGGACGGTAGCAGATTTAACAATGCAATGGTCAGCCCTTCAAGATAGACCAGACTAGGAAACCAAAGTCATGAAGAGCAATATTACGTTTATTTTAAAGTTATAACAGGTCCTTGCAAGTCTGAGTGCACCTCTCCCTCTCTTCCCTTACTCTTGTGTGAACTAGGGAGGAGCTTGCGAGAAGCTTACATGCATTAGAGTTCTAGGCCAGACATGGGGATTTTGAATACCTGATGATTACCTTGGCAGTGAGTCTTCCTCCTGTTTGTCAAAGGCCATATTCTCTCTCTCTTCTACATTAACACTAATGATAGTATTGGCACGTTGCTAATCTATTTGCTTCCAGGCCCATCTCAAAGTGCTGATGGTCATTGTTAAAACTCTCCATCGCTTGGCTCCTGGGTATTTACAGGATCATCTTCCTTGACAAGATTCAGCCCACCTTGTGCATACTTTTGTGGGAGGATATGCCAAAGGTTCGCATTGTATGAAAAGTGAGCAGAGTGGAACCTGAAGTCCTAAGGAAACAGAATGCCACTAATCTCTTTGCCTTTAGGAAGGCACTTAAGATCTTATTGTTCCACAGAGCATTTGAATGCTGGTCATGGAAAGGCAATTTGTTAGTTACTTAGCCACAGTTATGAGGTGATACAGAGCAAAAGGCTATTTTCTTTTTACCTACAGCATCATCACAATAGATATATGTTCTCTTTGCTTAATTGTTTGTCACCATTACATTGAGAGAGGTATGAAGAGAACATGTTTACTGCAGATTCAGAACAACACCTTTATGTATCTCTAAGTGTAACATCCTGACATATTTTTTAAAAAAAAAATCTCGGCAGCATATTGAAAATAAATGTTCAATCGTGACAGCTTGAAGGAACATAATTATAATGTTAGGAAGTTGAAATTATGTCAACGCCTTACCATAGACAAGATAATTATGGAAATAATAGGATTTCTTAAGTATTTATTTATTTAATTTCTATCCTGCCACAGCACACAAAGACCCATATAAAGCATCCGTGGTAAAACTATCTCCATGTTAGCATATCTTGAAATATTAGTTGCTTACAGCTTGAAAGTAACTGTTCTGAAAAAAAGCATACTCGGCATGAATTTTCATTGTATGTTTTTCAGGAGCTGTACTGATGACATTCAGTTAAGACCTAAATCATAGTGAATTCTGCCACCAAGTAAACTTAACCCATTTTAAAATATCAAGGGTCCTTTTGCAGATAATGTTAGACATTTGCCATTCCTTCTTGAACGTGACTAGAGGAATTCTAGATTGAAAATGACTGCCAACTTGTACACTCTCTTTTTCACATCACATTGGGTCCTCAGGTTTGGCTTTGCTTTATTTATTTTTTTTATACTTTAGGCTTGGTTTCCATGCTCATTTCTGATACGGTTAAGTCATTGTTAGAGCTTTTCTTTGCTAACTGAGCAATATGTGAGTTGTATGAGTGAGTGGACTTAAAAAAATATGCGTGCTCCCTTGTCACAACGCAGCTAATAATTGTTGCTGAAATCTGTCAATTAATGGATTTTGGCTAATAGACCTAACTTCCACCAAAAACAAAAAAAAGCCAGGTAAAGAATGTTGAATCAAGCAGGGTCCAGGAAAGAGAAGAAAGGTTTCCAGTAGCATATCCTGTCTACTGGGTGAGTAGGTCAAGTGCTGAATTATGCTCAACCTGGCAGAGTGCAATGCCTGTTTCCCTTTTTCTGAATACTGAAAGTTTCAGGTGAGTCTTTGCTCAGGATTTTGTCAGATTGAAAGAGGAGGAGAAAGGTCTTTTTTGATGGTACATTTCTCCATTTAGAAGACGTATTCACAGTGATAAAGAATTGACATAAAATCTCCTATTGATTTTATACCAGAGTAAATATAGAAATCGGTCCCCTTGCGTAAGTGCTGCCAGAGGGAGAGGCCTGGAGTGCAACTGGCGTGGAATCTTCAAACAAAGCAGAGCCAGAGCATTTTACTTCATTTATGGGCAACACATTCAGCATGCTTTAAAATACCTTTTATAGTTGTTTAATTATTGTTCACAATCTATTTGGTTATATAAGAACCAGGGGGAATAATCATATTTAA